ATTTTATCGAAAGAGCATATAAATTCTTCTCGAAAAGATAGAGATAACGGAAATGGCGCCTTGAGAAGTAATTTACGCAGCTCAGACTCTGAAGATGAATGTCTCACCCACGTGGTACGGATAGAAAAGGCCATTTTTAGTTTTTTCCCTTTTTTTTCCTTCTTGTTTCGGGAAATGCTGTCAGAAAAAAAAAAGAGAGAGAAGAGCAAACTAGACATAAGAGAAAAGCGTGTTCAATTTTCACAGCCACAATATGTTAGTATTAGTAGGAAGAGATATTAGAAAAAAACTACTGCTTCACCTGTTGCTTCATTTACACGTGAGACATTGAAGAACTTGAAAGGCTATTGGAAAATTGCATTACTTTTGTTTGTCCATTTATGCGTTTTCATTTTATAAAGGAAATGAAATACTTGGCTCGTTTTTTTTCTCTACTTAACTCGAACTTTAGGAATTAGTTCGTTCAGTTCAGAATGACTATTCGAACGCTGAATTTTCAAAGTTGTGGTGCAATAGAGGATTGTGTAAAAAGAAATGGTAAGCAAAATCCTTATTTTTTTTATTTTATAACACAATGCTCTTTCTCCTTTAGTTAAGTTTAGGTAAATTAAAGTATTTTTTGAATTGAAATTGTTTTAAAAATAGTAATTGATATAAGAAAGAAAAAGTTCATTTAGTTTATAAAAAGGCAATTTTTTTGGTGGTAAATATATTTATCACGTACGACCATATATTACTTATTGACTTTTATTTTTCTTTATTTATAAAATAAATTTTATAAATGCTACAAACTTCAAAAGGAATTATGTATTTTATTACTTTTATACTTTTTTTTAAACTAACAAATGGTTACCAATTTTATTCAAACGCACTTCAAGAAAGCTGAAGTTATTAACAAATGGAAACCTAAATTAAAAGTGGTGGGAAGTATACTTCCCATGGCCTTCGAAAGGGTTAAAGAAGTAGTTTTACGCAAAATTTGTGCAAATATTGTTATAATTATCTGTCTTAAGCTCTAAAAATAAAGATATGACAAAATAATGAATTGAATGGTAATGTCCATATGCTAATATGAAAATATTAGTTGGAATATTTATGCAATGTATAATATTCAACATAATTAATTAGTTGGAATATTTATGCAATGTTATGATTCAGCATAATATTTATATTATGTTAAAATATTTATGTTATAATTATCAGTCTTAAGTGCGAAAAATAAAGATATGACAAAATAATGAATTGAATGGTAATGACCATATGCTAATATAAAAATATTAGTTGGAATATTTATGCAATGTATAATATTTAACCTAATTAATTAGTTGGAATATTTATGCAATGTTTTGATTCAGCATAATATTTATATTATGTTAGAATATTTATGCAATGTTATGATTCAGCATAATATTTATATTATGTTAGAATATTTATGTTATAATTATCGGTCTTAAGTCCGAAAAATAAAATATTTCACAATATAAGGAATTGAAAAATATGTCTAGTTCCTTATATAATAACATTAGCTGGAATATTTTAGCAATATAAATTCCTGGCAGTCAAAGCAAATTTTAAGCTTTTCGTAAAATTTTATTTTAGTGGTAGCTAAATGTATGCTTTAAAGTATTATTTTTTATTCATTTAAACTTATTTTCCACATCACTGCATATAAAGGATTTAAGAGTTCATATGCAACGCCACTTAGTTTAAAACCCTCTCGTGGTGAGGCTGTTAAAATGTTGACAAAATTACCAAAAATTTTGATAGCTAAATTTTAAATATCTACCACTCTATAAAACATTATGCCTAAAGCGCAGTAGTTGGCAGGCATGTATAATATTGTTTAATTATGTTTTAACATAATATTTATATTATGTTGGAATAATGATCATGTTGGAAGATTTTTTTTAAAAAATGTCAAGCTGAGAGGTAATTTACAAATAAATATTCTTTCAAAAAATGTTTAGTTGCATTCAAGATTAATGACAACTAACAGAAAAGTTTGTTTTGCATCTTTTTTAATACGTGATTCTATTAAATTATATTTTTCATTTAATTTTAATTGTAATTTAGAAAACAAAATGTTTCTTAAGTTTTATGCTACTACATAAAGTTTATCTTTTCTTACAAAACTTCTGTAGCATGTCTTTATGCAAGTAGTAATTAATTTCATTTTTACTAATTCAATTGAAATGCATTTATATATATTAAAGAAACAATCAAAGATAATAAATAAAAATGTAAAATAAAAGAGCAGTTGTAACAATGAAACAGCCTTAAGTATGCCTATTGCAAAACGAAACGTTTTGATTCTGCAATAATGCTGCCTTTATTTGTAAATGGAGGTTATTTGCTACAATAAATAAATACGTAATAATATAATAATGATTAATAAAATAACTAGCGACTTTTTTTAATCCTTACTGTGTGTCCATATAGTGAAACTTCTAATTTTTAATAAAAATCTCAATCTTTTGAGGGGCACAAATATGGATTAATTTGAAAAACTTGTCTTTATCTACAATGCGTCGAAAAACTAAATAAATGGATCTGCATATTTCTTTTCAACGTTTTTACTTCATTTCAAGAAAAGGAAAATCTAATATATATAATCCTCTTACGTGGCGCCCAAATTTTGGTCTGTATTTCTTTTCCGCCGGTGGCAACGTTTGCTTTGTTTTATTTACAGTACTATTTCTCTTACACGGCGAATCGACCAATGATTGCCGCTAAAAATGTCACATGCCAAATCTAGATGAGGTGCCTCAACATATAGCGCTTTCAAAAACGGAAACTGAAATAACCATAGAGCATCAGCTGCGGCAATCTCATACGATTAAGCTAGGCAGAAGTGAGTAGTCTTTGTCGATAGATCTCTATTTTAGTATTTTATCGAAAGAGCTTTTTTTTTCACGAATTTATATATTACGAATTTATTTGACGATTTTTGATTTATATTACGAATTATACTATAGCACATTTCTAATAGGTTTAACGAATTACATGTCATTTATTTGAATTCAAATTTATTTTAATGACTTAGTATTTACTAAAAAGATCGGTCGTCTCTCGGTGCAGCACTCCTAGTGCGTCGTTTGCAGCCGAACATGGCACCGCCGCACCCGTCTCGGGATTGTCCCTTTCGGCCTCCTCTGTCCACCGAACGACTGTGTTGCTCTTTGTCGGACGTGACTCGGGGCCATGGAACTTCGTGTCCATGCACCACTGGGTCCTCCGACTGATTCGAGGATTGCAGTAACGATAGTCACCATGTATTACCCGTATGCCCCTTTTGGGGCGGGGCGGGGTTAAGACGTCCTTACTAAAAAGATGTAATTTTTTTAAAAAAAGAAGTTTTTATATGGATTTGAATGATTGTTTTGAATTCTTAGAATTTTGTGCATTTGCAATGTACCTAAGTTAGTAGTGAGCGAAGCAAGCTTGGTTTGCGAAGCAAACCATATAAGATTGCGTAGCAATTTTCGGGGTTTGGCGAGCGTTAGCGAGCAGGTGACGCAGCCCACTAGTTTATTATATAGCTGCAAAACTAAAAGGGAACCTATTATTATTTGGGCTTATAGTGTAATATATAGTGTATTATTATTTGGGCTTATAGTGTATAGTATTTGGGCTTAATAGTGTAAAGCGCCATTGACCGATTCGTCTAGTATTTTGGTTTTATGTTAGCAAGTCGTGTAAATATTAGATTCACTTCACTTCACTTTATCTAATGGAGCTGGAAACCAAACATGGCCTTTACCCATTCATAATAGTCAGTAAGGTAGATAAACTACGTAAAAAAAGAAGGGGGAAAATACACATAGGAGATGAATATTATATTGTAAGTTGAGTTGATGATGATGAAGAAGATCTAAGTTTCTCGCTTTTATCCTCTGTGCTTTGAAAAAGACAAAGTTGTGATAGTTAAAGTTACTGGGCTCAGCTATCTAGAATAAAAGTAGATTCATGGCTTAGTTAGAAATTTGTTGAGTTGAAAAATAAAAACATTTAGTGTTCCAATACCTATGATATCAATAAAGCTAAAAGAACAAAACCTCGTCAGTAGTAGAACCTCTATCAAGAACTCACTTTTTCCCAGGCGACACAGATTTCACAGATAAAAAAAAGAAGAGTATTCACGAACCTCCAAAGAGTATTCACGAGAGAGTTCATTTACCGAATTAAAACTAGAATCGTTTTGTTAAGCTTAAAAAGAACGCTAATTCTTTCAGAACGTTTTCATGTTTGTCGTAGCAGGGAAGATGGCAATAATTTAAAAAAAAGTCCCGATTGGAGCTCACTAGTGATTGTCGATAATGTTCAAATTTTTTGATCTCAAAGAGGAAGTGGTTAAAACACTCTAGGGTTTGACAGTCACGCAATAGTGAGTCCGTCACACGTTTGTTCCAAACTCATTAAATTGGATTGCTTTAATTCGAATTAGCGAGATGATACTATCTTTTTTTAGGTTTTGAATTGATTAAGAGGGACTATTGATCGAGTGCGGGAAACGTTACCCGTAACGGTACTTCGATGTCTTTTGAGTTGACGGTTTGAGTCTAAAAGCTTGAGGAATGTTCGAAATCCTCGGGCAGGATAAAGGAGAACGATTGGAGATGCAGCTATTACTAGTTTTGTCAGACTATCTATAATTTCGTTGAGTGGTACACCAACGTGAGCCGGGATACAAGCGATCAAAAGTGATTTTACTGTAGAACTTGCGGAAACAATAGTTTTCTGTAACAAGAAAACTAAGGGGAAATTTGTGGGTTGTTGAGATTAGAGTTATAATTGCAGATCTGCTGTCTGATAAAATTACATGATCGAAATATTCGGTGGTAAATTTTTTAATTGCTTGTCAACTAACGAAAACTTCCTCAGAAAAAAACATGATTCATGGGATTGATTTGAGAAACATAACGTGTTTTTTTTTTTTTTTTTTTTTTTTTTTTTTTTTTTTTTTTTTTTTTTTGAATTTATAGGCGCAATGTTATTGTTGGATTTTGAGTCATCCGTAGTTAGGATTGTAAAATTATTCCAAAGGGTATGGAGGATTCCCATTGAGAAAGGGTGGATCTTATTAAGATTTTCATACGAGATGTACAATAATAATGTGAGATAAGTATTCATACAAGATGTAGCTTCATACGAGAGGTCGTTTATCTGTGAGAATGACCATTCGTGGTTCGCGATCTGAGTCGAAGTTCAATCTTCCCCTTCAATTTTGCCAGTTACAGTTAAAGTAATTTTGTCTCAACGCAAGTATGTTTAATAGCTTTTGAAAGAAGAGCACGTTTTTCTGTTATTCAAAATCCGCTCAAAAAGTTATCAGTAAACTTTTTTTAATAAAATGAAGTAAAACCCTAAATGCTTCTTTAAAAGACAGTAATTTTATACATACAATTGAAATTTAAGTCAGTAGCTTAGGATTTATTCGAGTTCAAAGATGTCCGACTTATTTAAAAAATGAAACTTCCAGATATTACTTTTGAAATGCATATGAATAGAATGTGAAAGGCAGTTTGCATGAAAAATGTATCATTCTAGGGCTTCCATATTTTGGACGTTTTTAAAAAAATTATCAGTTTCCTCACTCCTACATTTATTATCTACATTTATCCGAAACAAATGCTGGTTGATTTGAAAATAAATACTAACACAAATTTTTATTACTATTTTAGTTTTAATATTGTTTTTACTACCACTTTAAATTATGGATAAAAATTTTAAAATTTAATTCCAACAAAACTTTTTGGTTATAAAATCCTAATCAAGTCCCATTAAAAAGTATATTTTTGGGGGGACGCAGCACACGATCTAGATGTTGGAGGGAGTGTTAAAGTAGCCAGTTAGATCTGCCGCGTTATTTAAACGTATATACACCAAATTTGGTACGGACTGTTAATTGCGGATTGTATATGGTTCATACATATAAACATTCTACTTTATTAATTACATAGATATCTACCGCTTAATTTTTTAATCATTAAAATTCTAGATGTTACTATTATAACGTAAAAGAGGAAGAAAATAATTAAAAGTAATTGAATACATCTATAGTACAATATATAAATTTCACTAAAAATAGTTTTTTTTCAGGATAATAATAATCTGATTTGAACGTGACAAATGAAAATAAATATGGATGGAAAAAATTTCAGTGGTCGGAAATATGGTAAGCATTCAAAATGTTTAATATTATTCATACAATGTCGCATTATTATAAATTTCTGAAGCAGTAGTGCTTTTTTTCACAAGTAGGTTCCAGAATTGCAATATTGAAGTAATTATCACATTTGATAATAAAACAATATCCCTCTAGCACTTAATCATAAAAGGACATTCCTCTATTCTGAGAGAGGAGTGAAAAGCAATACAATTTTGTGAGAACAAAGTTCAAGTTAATTTCATCCATGTATTATCATTCTGAAATATCTTTCATTTAAGCTGATCTTTATTTATATCTGACACAGGATTCGTTTTTTTATTAATCAATGCATTATTAGACTAATTCCTAATGGTTGTGTTAGCATTCACCAATTTGAGAATTTATTTTTTGAAATTCTTTTTCTATCCTTTTGTAAATCATAACAAATTTTACCGAGATTTTCATATGAATTATTTTTCTATCTTAATACTATAAAATACAAGAGTACTAAATCGCAGTTTGTTTGTTGAAACTTATTCATTGTTTATCCTGTATTGGGAAGAAGATAGTTGTTGTCAATTTCATGTATCTTACACGTTGTTGGTGAACTTTTTGTATATTTTAAATGCAGCAGAAAATGAGCGAGTAATAAAATAGGCCTAGCTTGAAATGTACCTTTTAAAAAAAGGGCGTTGTTTTGGAACTATTTTAATGCATCCGGAATTTCTATTCCATTCTATTTAATAAGAAAAATAAAATCCCAATTATGTGCACCATAATAGTTTTTAAATATTTTGAGTGTAATATGTTTTTTTTTCCCCAGAGCTTCCCGGAATGCGGTATATCTTCACAGCCGTAAGCTTCCTGGGATTCGTAGTAAATTATTCCATAAGAGTGAATCTCAACGTAGCTATTGTGGCTATGGTAAACAACACTGCTGTTTATCACCATAGTGGTGTAAATCACACCGTGGAACATGAATGTAGCATAGAGAGGGAGGCACTGAACCAGACAACGCCGGTCAATGAATTCCGAAGAGTAAGTCGTATACTTTAGAACTTATTCTGATATTCTAATAATTTATCAAAAATATTGGGATTGTTTTTTTAACTAGTAAATACTGTGTGACTTTGAGGAGAACTCCTCCAAAATCTGGGACTGTCTGCTGCTATACCAAGCGAGAGCACATTTTAAATGGGGGTGCAGTGAGAGAATGAAAGTGACGATTGACTTACTTACTCCGACCTATGACAAGATTGAGATAAAACTATTCACCTCACACCCCTATTCGAATTGACTTTTCCTCGTAACTATAGTACCCACCACGACGCGAGACGGATGTCTGGAGGAGTTCTCCTGTAAGCCGCACTATAGCGTATTCAACGAGAAAATGTAAAATGTTTAAAATAAAGCTTTTTTTTACCATTTTTCTTAATGAAATTAATTTCTTTTTAATGAAAATGGAAATTTGGCACATATTTTGTAACATATTTTAGGGAATAAATTTTGATAACAATATTTTTTTAAGTATAGAAATATGACGTTTTTTTTTTAATTAATGAAATATATGGTTGACCGAGTGGACTTAAAATTAAACCTAACAATTTCAAAATGCTGAATTAAAGAAGAAATAAAAAATTTATACGGAATTCTAAAATTTCTTCTCTGCAAATATGTAAATTGGAATCCAATTCAAAAGAATTCTTGTTTTCAGCATTGAAACAAATTTGTCTTCTTTCCAAGAAATAAACGCAGATCAAAAGGCACAAACAAAAGGTACACCATCGCTCGTTGGCTCTAAATAATCATTTTCGGTTCTTGTGCTTCTACATTCATCTCAATTGGGAGATAAAAAATAATTGTTAATTTCAGCGTTAGTAAATTTTTGTTTTAATAACTAAAGATGAAATTTTGGTTTTTGAGTGGATGTTATTTTGAGAGAGATACTTCACTACTCCAACTTGCATTTCTTTTTAAGTTGTATTTCGAAACAGGTGATACTATCTTTATCCACGATGTTTTTGTCTCATAACTTTATAAGCTGTGTATTTATTTCAGGAAGGAGAATTCAATTGGTCACCCCAAACTCAAGGTATCATTCTTGGTGCTTTTTATTACGGTTACTGCATTTTTCAAATTCCTGGCGGTCGATTAGCTGAAGCTCTAAGCGGCAAATGGGTATTTGGAATTGGTAATCTGGTTCCCGCTCTGCTGACTTTGCTTACACCAATGGCTGCACGTTATGGTGTCGGAGCATTGATTGCTATCAGAGCTTTGGAAGGGCTGTTTCAGGTATTTTTTTTTATTTGGATTAATATGAAAATAATCTGCATTTTCAAACTTTATTTTACAGCCCATATTTTAAGAAATTTTGTTTCATTGCTCTAGCGGAAAAACTATCGTTAGAAAATGCATGGTACAAAAATAAACTAAATGAATTTTTTTATTCCGCAAGCAGCAATCTGTTTTTGATAAAGTTAATTTTTTTCAGTTTAATTTTTCTTTACTGTCAAACTCATTTACTTCGAATATAGTGAGGGAGTTTTTAATGGGCTGATTTAATATTAAAAACCCTACATTAAAACTCTGCTGATACGAGCATAGCTTTTCATAATTACGTTGTTATGAGGAACTTTTCATAAATTATTCAAATTCATTTTATTGCAGTTTGGGGAAAAAAGTATATGTCTGTTCTTCAAAATTTCGTTCCTTTTGAATGATTTTAAAAACATCCCTTCAGTTCGGTTTATATGAAAAGTGAACACACATCAGCTATCTTGAACAGAGTGAAGTTTTTAATTTGTTTTAAGAGAATTGAATGATTGTTTAAAACTATAGAGCTATAGTTGCAACTTTTGTCCAAGAAATCATGAAGGTAACTGCAATTGCAAACAGAAAATTATTTTACGCGAACAATTTATCAGGTTTTATCCATCTTACTTATTAAGCAAGCAAATGATTAGGTTTTATACATCTTATTCGTTAAGCAAGCAATTAATTAGTTTTTATCCATCTTACTATTAAGCAAAAAATTAATTATTCTGTACCCATCTTACCGTTACAGGGTGTGCAGAGAAGAGAACAAAGAGACAACGATCTAACATTTGACTACATCTAACCAAAAAGGAGTACCCAATCGGCAACTAACGACGTGGAAACTTTAAACTTATTAATATTATCTTATTATTAAAACATTCACGCCGGGAAAAGAGAAAATACTGGTAGAAGAACTATTTCAATATTAGATAATATTCGGGAGGTGTTAATCTATTCTNATCTCACTCGTTAAACAAACAATTAATAAGCTTTCATCTATCTTACTCATTAAGCAAACAATTAATTAGGTTTTATCCATCTTACTGTCAAGCAAAAATTAATTAGTCTTTATCCATTTTACTATTAAGCAAAAAATTAATTAGTCTTTATCCATCTTACTGGTACAGTACTAGTGTTCAGAGAGGAAAACAAAGAGACTACAATACCAAGTATCAAACCAAAAAGTAGTGCCCAATCGGCAACTAATGACATGGAAACTTTAAACTTATTAATATTATCTTATTATTAAATTAGAATTTTTTGACCGGTTAATATTAGGCTCAAACAAAATATATAATTAGGAATAAAATATAAGTTTCAAAACGTTCTAAGTACGAAATTTTAAATCATGGAAATTTAAATATTCTTCGCATTTAAAAAATATAACAATATTTTGTTGCAAATAATAAACTCCTTACCTTAGAGAAATTTCCACTGAGACTACATAAAATGGGATGTAATATTTGAATTTAGAGTTTTTTCTTCTTTTTTAAGAAAGAAATTAAATTGGATTTCTTCTCCGGCTGGAATTACATTCCTCCTTTCTGGGACATTTAATAGAGAAGTTTCCTTGGGTATTCAAACCACTCTGCACGCAACCACTATGCAAACCACTATGTTTCTCTTCACCCGCGTGTATGCATGTATGTTCCAACTTAAATGTAGTCATATAATTTATTGATACTGAATGCGGAAGGCACAATTAAATGTAACCGCTTTCACAAAATCACCTGTTCGGCTTGCTACTATATTTTAAATATTAAAGCTACACAATTTTTTTTTATGGAAAACTGTTTTTTAAATTAAGTTTCATTAATTAGCATATGCAATTATAAACATTTATGTGGGATCTTTTTTTTAAAAAAAAAAAGAAAAGTTTTTATAGGATTTTTATAATTAGAAATACTATATACTATATATTGATTGTACTATATATTGATGAAAGTGATGATAGACTATATATAGTTTCTTTTTAGGGCGTGTCCTGCCCTGCAATGCACACAATGATAGGACGATGGTTACCAGATTCTGAAAAAAGTTTCTTGACAAGTTTAATCTATTGTGGAATTGCAACTGGCACAGTTGCGGGCATGAATATTGCAGGCCTCTTCTGCAATTCAGATCTATTCGGAGGATGGCCTGCTGCATTCTACATTATAGGTTAGTCGTGCTTATGGCTTACACTTAACAAATTCAACAACCTATAATATCAATTGTGACAATTATTAAAAATAAATTATCTAAATTATGTATATAGGTTTCTAATTATATATTATGTTTCTAGATCTAATTGTATACTATGTTTCTAGATCTTATTATATACTACATATTTCTAAGTTATAAAATATATAAGATATGTTAAGTAACTGTCCGAATGGAAATGTAAGCGCAAGGAAATAAATAACATCGCACCAATATTGCTAAAATGTTGCGAATTTAGTAAGCATAATAGAAACAAAAATATGAAACAATTAGTTTGTTTTAATAGATTGTTTACTTTTAATCTGCACATTTTTTATCCTGCGCATTATTCAGTTTGTTTCAGATTTTCCATGACGAAGTCCAAAAAATTTAATCTGTTTTGTGGTAACAACGTGTATAAGTGTTTCATAAAATATTAAGGGATAAGCCTCTGCTCGCTGCTCACATCAGCTTATAAATTGCCATCGTTGTTTCTTTAAGATTGCTTGACAAGTTGAGATTGCTTTGCTTGCCGATTGGATGCTTATTTGCTTTAGTCTAGCATTGTATGTAAGATGTTATTCTTTTTAAAATTAAATTTAAAAAATAGGCAACATATATATTTTGTGAAAACTATGATTTATAAACAATTTATTCGATTTTTATACATTATGATTTGACTTATATGTATTTCGATGCTACGAGAAAATAAATTGCATTTGAAACAAATAATTCATAGAATATCCCTATCAATACAAATATAATTGTCAGTGTATCGGGATCAGAGCAGTTTAGTGACTTTTATTCCAACATAAATTATTAAAATGTATAAAAAACCAATGAAAAATGCAAAGAAATTTAATAGAAAAGCAGGCCGATATTAGTTGATTAACGCCACTCTCTCTTACATTGAAATTGAAGCATCATTAAAACAAAAATATAGCTCTAAATTATAACTGAAGTTGTTATTGTAGTTCACGTTGCACTAGAGCTGCACAATGGGGTCTGGGAAGCATCCCTGCGGATGATCCGAAGACATGCCATCACGATTTTGTTCCTCCGCAGAGGGGATAGTGACCTGCTCGGACACTTAACGATAGAACAGTTAAAAGGACCAATACCGCACATCCTCAGATCCTTCGCAGACTGATCCAAGTGGTCAAAAATCCGCACTCTGATCGCAGCCAGTGATGTTTTACTTCGGTGATCTGCTGGGTACATTGTCTTAATGATCAGTACACTACGGGATGAATTTTTATTCAGAAATTTGCAGTCATTTAAGCTTAATTGTGCTTATGCCTGCTCAATCTCAACCTATTTTTGTTTTCAGATCTCTGTTACCAACACAAAAAAAAATCTTTTTTTTTTTTTGCAGTTTACTCATTTGTGTTTTAGATGATAAACATATTGTAATACTGAAGGACAATGACATCATCCCGTCGTTTTTCTAGTCTCCTGGCCCAACGGCCCCCAGGGCTATCTAACACTTACAGGAAACAGTTAATAAAATAGATATGGGAAAATTTAGCCCGACCCGCCCTTATTTAGGGCATACGGGTAAATGTTTATTAAAATCAAAAAAATCCAGAAAACAGTACAAACATAAAATACATATCACGCATGGCAAACAGCCCATGTACATGGCAGACGCAGAGCTGCAAAAATCATGTAAGGTGATAAAACATTAAAACAGCAATACATTAAAAGTGTCAGTTAAGAGAACAATTTAAAAGATAAACATGCAAAATTCCCAATGAACAACATAGCATATTAAAACAGTACTTTTAAAACCAATTAAATAATACAAAAGTAATTACAATAAAATTGGAGCAAGTAGAAGAGTTTATAAAAAAAACAAGTTACAAAACTATACCATCAATAAAACTGAGACACCCAAGCTGGAACGAGCAGGTTCCGAGACCACTAAAGACCATCCCCCTATACATCCATTAAAGTTTTTTTAATGATCTTTTTTATGATATTTCTACAAGTCAGGTTAGCATAGCATTGATGTTAACTAATATTATTAAAGTAATTGCCCCGGAGTGTCTCGAATTGAGAACAATTCATTAAGAAGTGATCAATAGATTGATATTCACCGCAGTAATTACATTCTGGAGTTGTGTGTAAAATAGATATAAAAAATTTTCACGCTACGCTTTGCCTCTGTTATATTTTTGTTTAATTCTGCAGGATTATATTAAGAACGATGATTATAATTTTAGCATGATGGAATGAAATCCTTCTCCCTGAGTGTGATTAATTCTAAAGTTTTGTGTTTTTTTTTTTTTTTTTTTTACTTCATTCGAACAAAAATTATTGAATAAAGTTAGGATTGCATGAATTAATATTACTGTTTTGAAATTTTTTCATATTGTTCATTTGTGTAGAAACATAAAATTTTCTGATCCAATTCAAGTCTCTTATTTTAGAATTCAGTTCTATTATTCGTAAAAAGTACTTCTGTCGTATTTTTATTTACTCTTGTTTATTTCATTCCTTTATAAAATAAATTCTACTATAAACAGAAAAAGAGAAGAAATCTACATTAATAATGCATTTCTGAAATTTTTTTTCTTTTTATAATGACATTTATATAAACATATATCAAACATAGAAATATAAATTTAAGGAAAAATGAGGAGAAATCCAAGCAGAAAGAGAATCGTACGTTTGTCCTGGATTACACCAAATGTTTAAAGAATAAACATTTAAGCATTTTATTCACCCAGTGTCCTAAAATGACAAACAAATCAAACCCGAAGTCTGTCAGTCGTCTAATGACGTCATAGCAACTTGATCAATGTAAATCATTAAATTCGTATCATTAATAGGAAGTTATTAACGCCTTTTACTGTACTGCCATTTGCTAATATGAGAACTACTCCTTCAGGAATAAGGAAAATAAAACAAATAACCAAACAATTAGAAAGAACTTTGTAGATTTAATTAAAAATGATAGAAACGATTTACTCGTCAATTTAACTAGTATAGTTAACTAGTATAGTTATAGTTTAACTAGTATAGCCACAGCGAGTCGTTGAAACCGTTTGAGCCAGTGTTGCTATTTTGACCCCCCCCCCCTGCAAAAAACATGTCTTTTATATATTAACTTTTTAAAAAATTTAAAATATGTATTACATATATTTTTTTAAACATTAGAGTAGAAACTCTTCGTATATTTCTCAGCGGTAATAAGATAGATTTATAAATTCAGTTTGTTTCAAATCTGGTTTCCAAAGCGAAATTATTACAACTGAATTAGTTTTGTGACAATATCGCATTAATGTTTTTTATATTATAAAATATAGAGAGCTTTTTAGAATCAAAAGTGTTATTTTATTGTCCTGATCTAATGTAGAAAATGATTTCACATTTGACGTGAAAATTGCAATTTTAAACAAACTGTAATTTAACGTATATATTGAAATCGACTGGAAAAAAAACTTATCAAATAGAGTTTCCTAGCCTTAAAACCAATACCGTTTCTTCAGTATGTCATGATATTATTTTATTTTTCCTCATCCCTATCGTTGCGTCAAATAGTGCGATCTATGGCGGACGTAACATTGTTTATGCCAGATAAATGTCAACTTTAACCTCAGATATCAAAGTTCCCGACTTTTTGTTTTTGTGATTTATGATATGTTTAGTAGGAAGAATTCTGCAGAGATCGTAATGTAACCTTGAGTGTCATTGCATAGTTCGTTAAATGAAATTATTTAGCGTCTTGATTACGTCTAAGTTAATAAAACTTTAATTGATTTATTCTTTCATCTCAATGGTTAATTAATTTAACTGTGTAGAAATAAATGCATGAATACGAATTAAATAAATTGCATAAATCTTGAAGCTCATTTCTTTAAAAAGTATTTCAGATAAGGAAAAAGTAAAATTGTTTGGTACACAAAAGACCATTTCTAAGAAACTCAAGGGTGAAAATTTCCAAGGATGTGTAACTTAACAGTTTTTCAAATTATCTGTGTTTTGAAAATCAGATTTGCCTCAACGATATTACAGGAAGACCTGTATAATATACACAAAAGCGCGAGCGCTGTTCGTCTAAAATTTGTCGTCATTGCGGAATATTTACTATTACAAAAAGAGAAAATATACACCTCTTCAAAGAAAGTTTGTCTTTTTCGAATTCCCCAGACAAAAAAAAAATTTTTACGTTTTTTCGGACCAATGCAAACGCGATTTGAAATTATTCACAAAATTTAAAATCACACGTCTAGATTCCTATTTACGCGATTTATGGTCTCGTTTCGTATTTTCTCGATTTTATATCAAATATCACGTTTTGTATTCACGCGATTTATGATTCGCGATTAAGTGATTTAAAAAATTATACATCAGTATTCGAATTCTCGAGATTTTAAAATTAAGTAGCAAGATTCGTATTCAAGCAATTTCAAATCAAACATCGAGATTCATCTTAACGCCATTTTGAAATAGATCATCGAGATTCGTATTCACGTAATTTTAAAGTCAATCATCGAGATTCCTATTAACACGAATTTAAAATAGATAAACTAGATTCGTATTCACGTTATTTAAAAATCACGCACTGAGATTTATATTCACACAATTTAAATAAATAAATAAAATGTCGCCTATTTATTTTTATTAAAACGTTCATAAAATTTTGTGGAAAAATTCTTCTTGCATATATTTTTTCCTTGCGCAAATGCCAGGTATTTTTTCAATTATTTAAAAAGTGTTTTTGCGCATAACATTTTTCGATTTCTATTTTAAGCTTTTTTGTTTTTTTACAAGACTTGTCCCTGTGGTATGAATAAACATCATTAAACAATGAATTCAATGAATATTAAACATTTTTTTTAAAAAACTCAGTGGTTTTCATACGAATTTAGCCAAAATGAGATGAAGGGGTTGAAACTAGTTACAGGAGTTAATCAATGCGTGCAAAATTTTTTTTACTCTGAATATAAGTATGTTAATAGAGGACGCTAATACTATATGCTAGTATTTATACTAGACATGCTAACAAATGTGAATTTAGAACATATATGAAGCTAAAATAGATCCAATTCATAAATTACAGTTTTGATGTAATCAAGGAATCACAAACAGTTCTATAAATTACACTAAGGGAACAATTTTTGTTTTTTTAATGTTGCATGATATCTTTGAACTTATGTTCGATACTTTAGTATTAATGATTTTAAATCTGCAATCATCAAAATGTGCAGTGAGCCAAAAAAAAGAAGAAAAAAAAGAAAGAAAACGGATTAGTCTGAATAACTTTTCATCTGATGATCGGATCTTCACGTTCTAGGACTCCATCTTAAAAATCTTAAACATACGACATTTTTAAAATTTCGATTTTTCAGGAAATATTCATCCGATTTTGCTAAAATTTTGTATTTTTCCGAATAAAGTTATGTACTTTAAAATGACGTAAAAATTGTATACTTTACAATTTAAATTTTTTCCAACTGTTAAATAAAATAAAATGTAATAAATTTTTACTATTTTTTTTTTTTGCAAAGAATTATCCTTATGTAAGCAAATACAAAAGCACAAAGGCGCGTTTTTTTTTTTTTTTTTTTTTCTAATTTCGTAAACTGAAATATAGTCTGCACAAATTAAGTAGAATATCTGAGGTCACCCTCTTGAACCATTAAGATAGAGTAGAAAGTGAAGATCTGATCATTAGATTAAAAGTTATTTAAGGTGGTAAATTTATTTTTCTGCCGCACTGCACAAGTTTAGAATGTTATATATAAAAGAAGATCACATAAATAATGCGACAAACTTCTACAAGGGCTAGTATTACATAGGAAATGAATGGATTAAATTTTACAATAATGCATGTCCGGAAATATTGCCATAAACCTTTATGAGCACTTTCCTATTATAAATTGTTTCTTCGCGTGCTTTAGAACACGTCATAATAGGGGAAGCGTCCCTAACCACGTGCGATTACATTTCCGGGCAAGAACGACGTAGTGCTCTAACATCCCTAGAAGTTTTTTGCAACATTTAAGCTACCGCCTGTTGTATATACCATTTTTAAACTTGTACATTTCGACCCAAAAAAATGGACTAAAAGTGACATTTAAAAAATCTAGCTATAGGAGCAAAGCTAATCTTAGATTTGAAATCTCAACACCCGATGAGGCAAGATCAGGAATTTGTATTAATGCAACAAAAAAAATTGTTTTCCAGTGTTATTGTTGAAAATTTGTTTCCAGTGTTTCTCAGTGGATGTTAAAATGAATTATTTAATGCAACTAAAAATTTCTTTGAAGATAATTACATACCTTAATTAGTATGTTAATCTTAACTTTAAGTTTGTAAAGGGTTTTTAGTTTCTATTCGGTTTTAAAGTATAAGGAAATATTCCGCTTACCCTGAAGAATCTATTCTCATCTAATTTACTTCGCACTTTATTTATTCTAGTTTTAAGAAATATTTATAGAGTAAATATTAAAAGTATTTACTCTGTAAAGATTTTTTAAAACTAGGAAGACATTTTTTCAGAGTATATTTTTGCTGCAAAACATTTAACATTCCTAAAGAAATATTAATATTAACTGCGTAATTTTCATTTATAAAAATAAAATAAATTGTTTTAGGTATTTTTGGCTGTGTTTGGTTTGTACTTTGGTGTATATTCATTTCCGATTCTCCAACATCACATCCATGCATTACTGAGGAAGAACTAGATTACATAACATCGAATCAGAAAATAGAAAAACGCAAAGTATGTTTTCAATTCGTTTTTAAAATGTGTATTTAGTCATTCTGTTTTATTTGAAAAAAGTTAAAATTTATGAATCTTTCTCTGCAGATTCCTTCGACTCCGTGGCTCAAAATATTGACTTCTGTCCCAGTTTGGGCTATAGTTGTGGTGCAAGTAGGTGTTGACTGGTGCTTCTACACTCTGCTGAGTGATTTGCCAACATTTTTTGCGACAGTTTTAGGATTTGAAATTGAAAAGGTGAGAGTAGTTCTATGAGCTTATTCGATATACTATCTAATATCTTGAATGCATTTGCATAACTCAATTTTCCTGTTCTCATTAATTTTGGGTCAAAGTGTTGAAAAAGTGAGTAGTTCTATGAGTTTATTCTATATACTATCCAATATTACGAACTAGGACTGGGCTATAAATCGATATATCGCGACATATCGATTTAACGCCTATATCGGCAAACCGATACAGCAGAAATCTGATTTAAGCCGTCGAGTGAAGAAGACGATATAACGATATAGCGATACACGCAAGGACTTTCTCTTACGTTCCGATGCCAACTCGCGCTGTGGAAGACGATATTGTTTCGTTATNACGAACACATTTGCATAACTCAATTTTTATATCTACTTTCTGTTCTCATTAATTTTGGGTCAAAGTATGCTTTGAAGTATGGTAAGCGAAAAAAATTATAACCCTAAATAACTTTGATTTTATCGATAGGTAATATTTTAATTTTTACTATTTAAAGGAAAATATTAAAAGTTTAATGGACTAATTTATGAGCACTTTCTATTAATTATGTTAATTGTTTGGCTCTAGCCGCAATTTTAGTTATGAAATCATTTACAAAAAGCAAAGTTTCTCTAAATAATCAAGCCTTTTTTCTTCGTATTTGATTTCTTGATAGTTATGATGATAAATTAAATAGTAAAAAGTATCATTCCGATAGTAAATCAGGAAAGAAGTCAAAATTTTGATTCCTTTAATGTTAATTTCACTTTAGCACATTTCTTCATAGCTCATAAGTTTAAGGCTAAATCAAAATATTTCTTCACACAATTATAAAACTCGTTTATTTAAAAATAATTCCTTATAAAACGAAAATTCATTTATTTAACCAGGGCTTAAAAAAAGGAAGGTCAGAAAAAAAACCTGGAAAATTCTTATATTATACCTGGCAAAACCGGTCTTAGAATTGTCAGTAACAGTAATCAGTTATCGAGATTCAAGTTATATAATTCTAACATCTATCAGTTATTTTGTAAAATTCCACTTTTTAGTGTTTCTTTTCCATGTTTCCAATCTCATTTTATTGTATGTTTTTACTCACAAAATCTAATATGTGACATTCCGATAAAAAAATTAAAAATTTTCTGATGAAAAATTGCATGGTATAGATAAAATATGGTATGGATTTCATTGAAGTTTACCTGATATACCTGGAAAGTCGGGGAATTTTTTTCCTGAAATTGAAGAAGAATCCTGTTTAACAATTGTTGTTGTTTTCTATTCATCATTATCTAATTTATTAGTAGACAAAACAATCCTAAGTTGCAAAAAATACTAACTTTTGCATTGTTTTGCAATAGTTTGAAAAGTCAAAAAGAAAATTTGAACGAAATTCGTCGGACAGTTCTTGTAAAGTGAAAATTTAGAAATACGACTTTTTTTTTAAAATTTCATTCCTCAGAAGCTCTTTGACCGATTTCGTTCAAACTTTCCATTTTGTAATTTAAAACATTTAAGAAGATTTAAATAATCTTGTCATTAGAACAAAAGTTATTCTGGGTATTATTATAAGTCTTATATGTTTATTTTTGGCTCACCTGCACAAGGTAATTATATAGTATTAGCTGATACATTTCTGTACCGAAAATCATTAATTTTTTATATGATTAGTGCTTGGGCAATTTAACCATTTAAATGGCCGCGGTAAGTATACTTACTATCAACTTCCTTCGTTCGAAAATGTCGATGGGTAGCTATTTTCCTACTCCATGATTTGTGAATTAAGGCAGAGGGTGAATTTCTTGATTTTCAGTGGCGCCATCTATGGCCAAGAATACGACTATAGCCACACTCACATCACATTCCATTTATAGGACTGACCCATTCGTTCATCCTCATATCATAATTTTAACCAGAGAGATCACTCTCCAGTTCATTACCCTCAGAGGCGCAATTTGTTTGGGGAACATGGAGGACATTGTAACAAGACAGATTTGACGTTGACCAGCCACCATTTACTGCACTTAAAGTCTTCGGCCAGTGGGGATCAAACTTACGACCCCTTGGAAATGAGCTCAACCATTACCTCCTACTTCAGAAAGCTTCCACACGGTTTTTTATAAGTAGCCTGCTCAGACTATTTAAAAAGTAAACCAGTTGTGCGCATGTATCCAAACTCTTTTTTAAAGATAATTGAGAGAAATTTATCATACATACTTGAGAATTGATTCTGTATTGGTTGACAAATAAATAAAGCAAACCAATCATATTGAAAAATTAATCAAATTTTTAGACATATATTTGCTACCGCTATCTTATTTTTCTAGACTTTATATTATATGCTTCGTTCGTAACCTTGTTTATTGACCGATTCTCGCTCAAGCCTTGCTCGAGTCAAGACGTGTTATCTGCTCAGTTATGCCTTACCATAGAATAGCCCGCGGCGGAAAGGTTTTACCACGGCCGACCACCAGCTTCACCCACAGATGATGTTGATGTGTTATCTATGATCGACAAACGTTTTCTACCGCCAAGAGAAATCTTAACTACTGGTCGATTTGCCCTTACAGCATTGATTGACTATCTCACTGGACAAACTATTGATATACGTGGGGTGCTTCGACAGGCTGTTTAAACAAACGGGTGACGATTACTACAATCAACTTGAAAGTGCAGCCGCAGTTGCAATCATGAATATCAGAAAGGGTAGAATCAACAAATTCCCGCCATCTGTCTCTACTCCAGCCAAGCCAGATTCCATTGAGACAGAGAAAGAACCCGAGACCAACACTGAATGCAGTGTTCCAACTAATGACAATACATGCAACCCTCAGACAGAAATGGACACTACAGTAACTCCGGATCTTCCTGAGAAAAAGAACAAGAAAAAGATGAAAACAAGTGCCAACCAGGAGACACTTCCCGAAAATACTACAGAAGGCGAACCCACCCGCCCAATCCCAGTACCAGCTCCCGTCATCCCAGCGGACCCAGTACTGACAGAGAGTATGGAGATTACCGAACCGGTAGACCCCATCACTACCACCAGCCCAACCCTGGACACTTCTCCAAAACCAAAGCTGAAAATCCTCATCCGAGGCCTGAAAATAGATACAGATATTCTTGAATTAGAGAAATATCTCAAAAAATTCGGACTTCTCCCGGAAAAGATAGTACAGCTCAAGCGACGAAGAGGGGAGGAGCTTAGGCCCCTCCCACTTTTCCTCATCATCCAATGGGATACAAGCTCGGCCAGAAATATCTACAACATCAGATCTATCCTCGAAAGACCAGTGCAGATAGAGCGTTTCAGAGGCGGACGATTCCAGGTCCAATGCTACAAATGCCAGAAATTTGGACACACACACAGCGCAGTTGTACAGCCACAGTTCCCGCCTGCATGAAATGCTCAAAAGACCACTACACGTACGAAGCCATCCACAGAGCCAGCGACCTGCATCAACTGTAATGGTGAACACCCAGCCTGTTTTACGGGATGCGGTGCAAGACCCAGGAAGCTCCCTAAAGAAAGGAAACCCAAGAATGCCACAGACTCTGCTACCAGATTCCTCAGACTGTTTCAAGAGATGAAAGAACTACTCAAAGATGAAGAGCTAGTTACGCTGCTTCGTTCCCTCCTCCCTGAGTCCCAGAATTAGTGCCTACAAGTCATCTCCTCATATGACTTCCACAGCGATAGGCTGTGGTGAACTCTTAATTTTACTTATCCTTGAAATTTAGATTTTTCAAGTTAGGACTACTACAGATTCGATGAATCGGTAAGTGGCGCTTCGCGCCAAAGGCCGAGGTTACTACTATTTCCAGCATTCCAGCGCCTTGTTTATTTTGCAGTGGTCTGATCAGACTACCTAAAAAATCCGTGTGGAGGTTTTCAGTTATAGGTGTTCCGGCCCTTCTGTTTATATAAATGTGGGTAACAGTAAAGGTTAACGCGAAGTCAGGAAGAAAGACCAGCACTGAATGAGCTATAGTTTTACGCGTCGTTCGTTTGTTTATTTGAACATATCTCATCGAGTTTATTTCTAATTATAAACACAAATTTCATAAATTCGACTTTCTATAAGCACAGAAATTCAAATTTATGGCCAAGTTTTTATAGTTGGTAAAATTTTAACGATCCTACCCATCCTCTCTCACAAAAATGGTTTAAAATACCAAATTAATTATATTTAATAAACTGAATATCTTTTTATATATTTAATAGAATTCTAAAAATATTGTGTCATAAACATTAATAGAAAAAAATGTTTTTGTAGAAGATTGATCGCGGTAAGCTTATAAGCGGTAAGCTAATCGCGGTAAGCTTATAATATGCTTTATCATTGTATACCGTTTAAAAAATATTTATTTTTTAGAATGCATTTTTGTCTTCGTTTCCTCACGTTCTCTATGCTATTATGGCCCTCTCAACTGGATACACTGCTGATGCCTTAATACGAAGAGAGATTGCTACGGTCAATTTCATTCGAAAATTCTGCACTTCACTTGGTACATTTTTAATTTAATATTTGATCGGAACTATTTTTTTTCTAACTAAGTATTAAAATCTGATGATGGTGTAGCAGGTTTTTAATTGCTAACGGTACATTTTCATTGACCGAGAAGTCATGTGGTAGGATTCGGTTTTCTCATATTGATTTATATAATTTTCATCAATGTATTGATTTTCCGTAAAATATTTTTGTATCCCAAATTCAAATGCAACCTGTAATATTTATTTTTCTTATTCCATGCAGCTTTAATTACGTTTTTGATTTTCTTTGACTTATAAATTAAGGGTTTCAAACTAAAAAGGATGTTTTTTTTATTACAACGTAATTCTGTGATATTACTTTATTAACGCTGCATTTTAAGGTAAACTTATTTGAATTGATGTTTCAACTTATTATTCGTTTTATAATTATTGTTTTTTAAGTTGTTTATATTCATATGCTGTTATAAGTTATCGTCAAAGAGATTCGTTAAATGGTTTAGAACTTAACGATCAGCTTCATGCACAATGTGATGCATGCACGAATTGTATTTAATATGGTAATTTCAGTCTGGTAAGAGAATATATTAAATTGCGGTTATGAGTTCATCGAATTTAGTTATAATAATATGCCTTGAATTTCAATTGTTATTTTTTTAAAAAAATGACCACTAAGAAAAAATATTTATGTACACTAATAGATTTATACGAGATCTTCCATATTATTTACCAATCAATAAACATTTAATTTAAGAAAATGAATGTTGAACGTGGAGTCCCAAGCGTAAGTAAACAGAATTTGTTAGAATACATATATTTTAAGGGAATAATTTCAACTGTAGTTGAGAAAACCGTTTTGCATTAAGAAACGACAATTATTGCAAATCAATCATTGGAGTTGGTGAGTTGCAGCAAACAAGGGGCTTAGTCTCCTGGTATTCGAAATTTTCTTAACACGTTGAATGTCATGGTGGTCACTGGTGACCAGCACTGAGTTTGTTCATAACTCCACGGGGATCACCGGTGACCGACGAAGCCAAGATTATTCGAAACACATAATTCGAGTTAATTTTTAATTTTTTTATATATTATTATCGTTGCTAAAATGGTTTGAAGATATTAATATAATATAGAACAAACCAAAATGGTTGGTTTTATTTATATACTACAGAGAGGCCAACTTGCTCCGGACAGCTAATAAATATTTTCAAGTGGTAGTTTATTAATTGTGATTCTTGGTTTAATAAATTCAATTGAGTAGATTTTTATCCACCACTATTTCGAAATAATTCGTAGGCTTATATAATTCTCCACTTTTATCAGATATGTTATGCTAAACCTTTTAAAAAACTAACAAATTCTGTCTATATTTGCAAATTTAGTTTGTAGTTAATTTGCCCTTTGGCCAGACGGGCAAGCCGTGTAAAATTAGCGTATCATTCAACGTGTTTCAAATAATTATGAAACTATTTAACATCATACAGTGTGCGGCTAAAGTTAACGCAAACTTGGCATTCTTCTATTAATTTAAAAATAATGATAATATTTCCCCAATTATTTTATTGCAACTATAATAAACAGATATATGAAAAGTCAAAATAAGAAGAAAAGCAATAACTAAAAAATTGAAACAAAAAAAAATTATCAAAGTTGAACTTACCCTCAAAAGTTTTGACATATGAGTCGTTACATGCAGATTTGTAACTAATTACTCCAAACTCTAAGGTTTTTAAATTTTTAGCTCTCATAATAATCTCTGGATGTAACTTTTAAATTTCATTTAAAATGCGAAGATATATGCAAATCACTCACGAAAAAATTCTCGAGTTAAAATGGGTGTTTCAGAAATCTGAATTAAAATAAATTGTTCAAAGCGAGGTATATCACTTGAATACCATAACCATTTAACACGTTGAGAACCACGTCAGCCATCAGTGACTGACACTGGACTTTCCATTTAGGCCGCGTCAACCACCGGTGGCTGACACTGAAATTAAATTTAGGCCGCGTCAACCACCGGTGGCTGACACTGAAATTAAATTTAGGCCGCGACAACCACCGGTGGCTGACACTTACATTACATTTAGGCTGCGTCTACCACCGTTTGCTGACACTGTCCTTTCACATAGGCCGTGAAAAACAGCTTGCTGACAGCGTATAACATGATATAAAACTATAAAATTTACACTCTTTTATGGAATTGCAGAAAATTTATTCAAAATTTACCTAATTATTGTGATTCTTAATTTAGTAAATACAATTTAGTAGATTTTTATCCACCACTATTTTTAAACAATTCGTAAGCATTCCTCAGATATGTCATGCTAAACCTTTTATAAACTAGCAAAATCTGTCTATATTTGCAAATTTAGTTTGTAGTTATTTACCGTGTGGCCTTCAGCGTGTTTATGGTGAACTTAAAAAATAAAAAATGGTAGCAAATATATACCTTGAAATCTGTTTAGTTAATGAATATGTTTTTTTTTGTTGTTGACCACTACACATTAATTTATCAATTGTATAAACAATAAAGTAATATAATTTTTTTTCGGGTAGTTCAGTTTTTTTAAATATTTTTATTTCAAAACGGTACTTACTTAGAAAACACGACTCGTATAATGTTTGTTATGCAACGCTTACCAACATTTAATGCGTACGCTTTGCCTCTGCACTGTGCCACCGTTCAGTGGCATCTCTTCAAGGGAGCATACTGCTGCAACGGAAGAGTTAGTTATTTACGATCCAACTAATAAATTGTCGCGTACTAAGATAAGACGGTAATGTTAAGAGGGAATATGCGAAAACGATTAAGCATACATTTTGTTTGCAAATTTAAATTCTTGACATTCAAAATATGGAGATTAGATGCAATCTGTAAAATATGGGCGCAATAGTCAAGAGAGCAATCAAAAGTTTGTGCCTTTGATCTTAATTTCAATATTTGGGTATTTAGCCCTATCTCTCGAACTTTATAAGATAATTAAAAAAAATGTACGCTAACATTTATATAATTCGTTTTTCTGAAAATAAGTTATTTCGAAATAAGATTTTTGAAAGTTATTTTTTAGCATTTATTTTAATAATTCCAAAAAGACATTTTTTTTTTCTTTTTAGAACTTTAAGTTACGCAATTTTTTTATACGTTATTATAAATAATGTAATACAAAATTTGAACGAAATCGGTTATACTGTTCTTGGGAAATTGGAAATAAGAATTTAAAAACTATGGGGATAAAGCGTTCGCCTAATGTCTTGCCTAAACAATTGTGACTATATTTTCGACATTGTGGTCGCCTCCCAAACGCATTTTTAGAATCCAGAGTCCAAATTTGTCGAAAAAGTGTGCTTGTTTAACACGTTCANGAAATTCGACACAATAATAAACTTTCTCTAAGTAATCATACATTTTATGGACAAATTTAAATTCTTTACATTCAAAATATGGAGAGTAGATGCAATCTGTAAAATATGGTCGCAATAGTCAGGAGAGCAATCAAAAGTTTGTGCCTTTGATCTTAACTTCAATATTTGCGTATTTCGCCATATCTCTCTCAAACTATAAAAGATAATTTTATAAAAAATGTACACTAACATTTATAAAATTCGTTTTTCTGAAAATAAGTTATTTCGAAATAAGATTTTTGAAAGTTATTTTTTAGCATTTATTTTAATAATTCCAAAAAGACATTTTTTTTTTCTTTTTAGAACTTTAAGTTACGCAATTTTTTTATACGTTATTATAAATAATGTAATACAAAATTTGAACGAAATCGGTTATACTGTTCTTGGGAAATTGGAAATAAGAATTTAAAAACTATGGGGATAAAGCGTTCGCCTAATGTCTTGCCTAAACAATTGTGACTATATTTTCGACATTGTGGTCGCCTCCCAAACGCATTTTTAGAATCCAGAGTCCAAATTTGTCGAAAAAGTGTGCTTGTTTAACACGTTCACGCCGGGGTGACCCACCGGTGGGTCAAGCTAGATTGTCTCATCTTGGCAGCGCATCGGAGTAAAAACTAGTAACAATAAATTTCATCTTTTACTTTTTTTCCGGGATTAATAAAAATCCATAACTACCAATTGTTTTTAACGGATGCAATTTTTATATTGAATTGTTTCTTCACCGTGAAAAATTTCCATACTGTGAATTGTTATTGTTGAGAATCTATTAACTCCTCCCGAATATTATCTAATATTGAAATAGTTCTTCTACCAGTATTTTCTCTTTTCCCGTACTAGTATTTTCACTTTTCCCGGCGTGAACGTGTTAAAGCAAATGCGTTTTTGTGTCTGATTTTTAACATAAGATATCGTGAAATATTTTAGCATATTTAACACTAGATTGCCTAAGGAAGTCATTTTGACTGCTTTTAATTTCAATTAGAAAAACAATGATGTACATAATGGCGCAATCTCTTAGAATTTTGTGACTTTTTGTACAACATATAATTTTTTTAATGTTAATATTTACTAATAGCTTGTTATATAACTGTAAATAATAAGAAAAATGTTAAAAATTAATTTTAAACAAATTTATTTACGCATTCACAATCCAGTCATTTTGACTGCTTTTGCGCAATATAGGTATATACTAACTTTCCGTCTTTCTAGCGTTAATCTCTTGAATCATTAAGTATTGCAAGAAAATCCAGTCATTAGATGAGAAGTTGAGGTGTTCATTCTTTTTATCACATACAAAAAAAGTCATGCATGTTATGTCATGCTGATTCAGTTAACTTCCTATTGATGTTAAACTAATGGATCGATGAATGCGGCCTGGATGTTTTAGCCAGGCAATGTTAATGTCAATTATTATGCAAATTGAGATATCCGAATAATACGTGAATCCTTATTTCAGCTTGTCTGGTGCCAGCAGCAGGATTGATAGGTGTTTGCCTTGCCAGATGTGACGTAACCATGTGTGTGATCGCCTTGATGATATCGGTTGGTGCTATTGGATGTTGTTACAGTGGATATATGCTGTCACACATAGATTTATCTCCAGAATATGCTGGTAAGCTCTTGTGATTTCACGCTTTTGAAAATTATCCAATTATGACAACGTTGCTTAAGTTTCCTTAGTTCCAAAGTTTCCTTTACGTATCGTTAATCTTTATCAAATTTAGTTAGGGACTCATAAGGAAAACCAAAAAATTAATGAAGTTTAACGCTGAAAAAGAGAAGAAGGTTCAAAATTATTCAAATGAAGAAACGATATTTTTTGTACTGCATAAAGAATAAATAAAAGAAAAACGTGAATGAATTAAGTTCAAAGGAAAGCATAAAAATGGTCATTACTATAATTTCGACTCTACCTCAGTGGCTAAACAGTAAAATGTAAACCGAATTGTTTGTTTCAACGCTGAGGTAAACTCTTTGTTTATTCCACCGTAATTATGGTATGTTTATTTTTAAATTTCCTAATGCGCACATTTTATTTTATAACTGGCGTTGAAAGGCCGACCCGATTCGAAGTTTAAGACTATCAATGTTCAACTCCATAGTTCAGTAATTTTGTTCCCTATCCTAAAAGCAAGGAAACTCCTGCATCAAGCATTGGGAGAAACTAAGACAATTCTTACTCGATCCGTCTACCACTGCGCCGACGTCGGTACTAATCGGGAGCAGAATTCGTGTCAACCAGCCACCAAACCTGGGTCGCTTCATTGGAAGGCGAACGCTCTATCGTTTGAACTACCACAGAAGCCTAATGTCTATATTATCTTCTTTAACAAGTTAGTTTCCATACCGTATTTAGTATGTATAATGTTTACTGTGCATGGTACGTAACAATACAATGAACCTAACACATGTATTTAGGAAATCAGAGACGTTTCTTTAAAAATATGAATTTTATGCTGCTCTGTTGTTTTTCTTACAATTTGAAGGAAATAATTTTGTAAAGAAAAAAAATTATGCTGTATAGTTTTTCCACGGACCTTAAAAAATTTTACAATGGCTGTAAATTTACTTTAAAACTAAGATAAATTTTTTTTTTGAGAGAGAGATAAGCTAACATTTGTAAGTGAGAATTTCTTAACAGATATATTTTATTTTAAAAATAACATAAAGTGGTCACAAATGTATTAAATGATTAGAATTCGTCTACCTATTTTTATCAATTTTTAAGGTCCATGCGGAGCTGGTGGTATGTACCATTGATTCTCTTGGTTGAGTATTAAAGTAATTTGGTGAGAGACTAAATTATTTATTTATAATTTTATGGACTATCTTCGAAAAAGTTCTAAAAAAGTATTTTCGAAAACTTTTTTGTGTATCTTATACGCTAAATACAAGTAACTTAAAACATTTTCTGAACATTTATACATTTTCTTTGTTTCGCTTTGTGAAAAAAAATTATTCCAGAAGTAGCTTAATTTGTTTTAATAACACCAATCAACAATTTTTTTTTCTGTTACATAATATTTTTGAACAGATCTTGAATATTTTTTTTTCAAATCAGATATTGATTTCTCTCTACCAGCCACAGTTTTTATCCAATTTAAGAATATAGTCTGAACCAGGTTTTACTAAAGTTCACTATGTGACCCCACTTCTCTGCAATGTAAGGCATGGTAGAAGGAAATTGATAACACGAGTACAATCGATATATTAATACAGATACCACTAAATATATCACTACACATATCACTACATATACCACTACATATATCACTACATATACCACTGCATATACCACTACATATATAACTACATATGCCACTACGTAAATCAGCACATATATCACTACATGTAGATATCATTTTAATATGCATCTAAAATGTCACTTCACTCCTGGAACTTCTTAATGGGTCTTTACAAAGTTAAAATTGAACAGAAATTCGTAACTTTCAGTATTTAATACACTACCACTTTTTATAAAATATTTTGCTTAAAGTCGAGTAGTTGGCATTTCTTACTATACTACTGTCAAAGGTGGTTTTGAATAGAATATAAAAAATAATGTTCAGTAAGTGATTCAAGCGTGTATTTAAATCTTCAGTAATTATTTAGATTTGAAAATTTCAACTCTTTTTCTTTTCAGGAACATTGATGGGTATAGCAAATATGTCATCCGCACTTACAGGATTCTTAGCTCCGTTAACAGTAGGCATTCTCACAGAAGAGGATGTAAGTTGAAATATGTTCCATTTTATTTTACAGAAAAATAATTCCTGTTTGTTAACATCAGCATATTTTTGAGGGTGTTAGAAACTCTTTCAATAAGCAAAATACAAAAAAAATCATATAAATAAATTAAGCATGTCTATAAAAGCATAATACATTATTTTCAAAAAGTATATTACCACACCATTAATATTCAACTCTTGATCTCACCTCAACGTTCCAAGAATAAATTATGGGTTAAAAACGAGCCGCATTTTATAACCGCTGTTGAACAGCTTACCCAATCCTAAGTTTGTGACTACCAATGTTCAACTCCGTAGATTTGTAATTTTGAAAGCAATCCAGAAGACTAAGGAACTCCTGGTCAAGCCTTGAGAGAGTCTTCGTGGAGGACACTTTTTGAAAGAACTAACCAGCAGTGTTGGAGATGAAAACCTCCGCCGGTCAGCCCAACAGCTAGAGAACTTTAGCCCATTATCCGTTTAATTTAAGTTAGCATTGTGGTCGGTGTGAGCCAGTAGCAGAATTCATATCGACCAACCATCGCTGGGCTCCAAACCTGGGCACCTCATTGCAGGCCAGCGCTCTATTCCCCAAGCCACAGCAGCTCTTGCCCATTTTATTTTATTTTATAACTGGCCCTACCCAATTTTGAATCTCATTGCTCAACTTCGTAGCCTTGAAGTTTCGAACCAAACTCAAAAATCAAGGGAACTCCTGGATCAAACATTGGGACAAAATAGCTTTCGTGGAGGACTTTTTGATATAACTAGCTCGCATTTGCGTTACATGGTGAGGAAAATCACGAAACCCTTACAGGATTAGCTTTACGGCAAAGGGATTCCAACCCATGATCCTTCTTTTACTGAGGATATTTTACCTCAACACTGTGGTTGGTGCGAGCCGGGAGCAGAATTCGTATCTACCAACCACCTCTGGGATTCGAATTCTTGTCCAATTTATTGAGGCCGCGCTAAGAGCATTTGTCCAAAGAACAAGATGCAACAAAAAAAATTGAAAATCATAGTCTCACTTCTAGTTCTGGATTCCCAGTACATTTCCACCAGAGCAGATTTTGAAATGTGCGATGCTACCAAACGATACTTAATCTTCATGCCTGCCAACTTGTACGATCTTTGAAGAAGATTTTGTGAAGTGGTAGTGAAACAACAATTAAGTTTAGAAGAATTATCAAAAAATGAAACTAATAAGACATTTATAAGCGTAATTAGCAAACAAAAGGATCTACATATGGTAGTTTAAAAAAAAATTTTTTGGAACTTTGAATTTCAATATGGTATGCGCCAAGCCGTTAATGTTACTATCATAAGAAAAATATTTCTCAACTGCCATACAAGTTGGTAGGTATGTTTCTCCAGGATCGTCGAAACCCTCTGAAAGGTGGTGTTAGTAAAAATTGTTCCACTTCGATCAGGCTGGAATGATGCTGACTGGGGACGTATAGTCTTTAGAGACGAATCCCGCTTCCAACTGTGTCCTGACGATCATCGAAGACGTGTCTGGAGACGAACAGGGCAGAGGGGGGATCCTGCCTTCACTATTGCACGCCGCACCGGCCCTCAACAAGGCATTATGGTCTGGGGTGCCATTTCCTTTGACAGCCGGACTCCTTTGGTCGTCATTAGAGGTACACTTACTGCACAGCGGTACGTCGACGACATCCTAAGACCTGTTTTGCTGCCGTTCCTTTTGCAGCGCAATGGGCTGGTTTTTTAGCAGGACAATGCCAGACCTTATACTGCACGTGTTGCCTTGAACTGTCTGCAAACTTTTCAAACTCTTCCTTGGCCTGCCAGATCACCAAATCTCTCTCCCATTGAGCATGTCTGGGATATAATGGAAAGGCGATTGCATCTGGCACGGAATGTTGATGACCTCGTTCGACAATTGGATCGAATTTGGCAGGAAATACCGCAAGAGACCATCCAGGAGCTTTATCGGTCTGTGCCACGCCGTGTGGCAGCTTGTATCCAGGCTAGAGGCGGGTCAACACCTTATTGAACTTGTTACTGTAACTCTGCAATAAATTATTCAATTGTTCTGAAATTTTAATCATTTACTATTCTGTACATTGTCTTCCTATCCACCAATTTTCGTTTCAATCGGACAACTCCTTCTTGGTTTGTCGATTTTTTGTTATAGAGTGTAGTATTATTATACAATTTTAAAATTCCTAATGTGAGTACTAATTAATAAGTAACAAAATTTTTTAATTTTAAAGTGGTGACTGTTGATGATGCCTCCGTGGGGACAATCCAGTGCAAAGGGTAAAATTTTTTTAATTTTGAAAAATAGGAAAATTTTGGAATGTGATTTTCGGCGACCACATTTCTTATGACTCTTCTTGGCTAAATTTTTTTTTTAATTTTTCTTCCCCTTTCAAGCGTTCAGAGCAGAATTATGAACTAAACGAGAGCCAAAAATTTTACAGAATATCTAAGATCGTGCAGAAAGAGATATTTTATTAAAATAAGCCATAAACATGTTTGCTAATTCTATAAGATCACAAACAGGAATTTATTTAAGATTATTTATAACCCTGTATAGTGTACCAAAAAAAAACGAACCACTCTGAATAACTTTTTTTCTAATGATCGGATCTTAACGTTTTAGGACTCGATCTTAATGGCTCGAAAGGGTGACCAAATATGCTAATTAATAAGAGCAGACAATACTTTAAATTACGATATCAGGCACAAAAACAGATTCGGATTTCTGACTTCCAAAATATAGGGGGTAGTCGCAATCTAGGATATATGGTCCAAAGTTTTGACCCTTTAATGTTTATTTTACTTTTTGCGCATTTGGCTATATCTCGAGAAATTTTTAAGCGAATTAAAACATTTTTGCTCATTATTATGAAATTCGTTTATCGAGAAATAATTCAAAACAAAAAATTTACTTTTTGTAAATGGTTATTAGATTTTATTATTTATTCAATAATTGTCAAAAAAATTTTGAACTGTAAGGTAAACAATTTTAAAAATTTGCAAAATTTTTAAGGAATATAATTTTACAGGGCAAATACAAAATTTGAGCAAAATCGGTTGAATAGTTCCTGAGAAATAGAATTTCAAAAAAGTCAGACATTTAAAGTTCGATTTCGCAGGACCGATTCTGCTCAACCGATTTTCTTTTTTTATTCAACCGATTTTGATCAAATTTTGTATTCTTCCTGGTAAAATCAAATTCTTTGAAATGGTACGAAAATTTATATATCTTACAATTAAATTTTTTTATACCTTTATTAAATAAAATAATAATTTTTAGTAAATATTTATAATTTTTTGGCATCAAATTATCTTTGGATAATTGTGTGGAAAAATTTTTAAAATCGCTTAAGAATTTCTCAAGATATAGCCAAATACACAAAAAGTAAAATAAACATTAAGAGGTCTAATCTTCGAGGCGATCTCTCGATCCAACCGTTAGGAACATATTTCTCAGATTGCAGCCCCTATAATTTTAGGGTCAGAAATCCAAATCCGAAAAAGAAAATATATGTTTATTGAGAGAAAGCACGTTTTTATGCCTCATTTCGTAATTTAAAATATCGTTAATTTGAGGTCACCCCTCGAGCCATTAAAATTGAATCCTAGAACGTGAAGATCCCATCATTAGATCAAAAATTTGTAAGGGTGGTATTTTTTTTAGCACACTGTGCTACAATTGTGCCTAACTAATTTCTATTTGTCTTATTTTAGCAAAGTCTACGCCAGTGGCACACAGCATTTGGCATAACTATCATCATCCTTATCATATCTAATTTAGTATTCGTTTTCTTCTCGTCTGCACAAAAACAAGACTGGCTTTCTACAGACCCGAAGAACAACGCAGAGGACATGACATATTCTTCACTCAAACAAGACAACTTTTTAAACGATTTCAACTCGAAAGATCTTCAAGTGCTATGAAGCGTGACATAAGGTGTTCATCAATTCATTTCAAGATTAGAAAATGGTGCTATTTAGTATATCGATGTTTCTCTATTTTGATTTTTAGATGATGTGTAAATTATTCATCCGTGTAATTTGGTGTGCATGGAGCTGCATTTAGTAACTTTTTTTTAATAGCACAGTTTTATTATTTTGTGTCTTGGAACCAGGGCTTGAAAAATATAAGACCCAACATGTCATGGGTATGTTTTATTTCACGCATGTAAATATTTAATCACATACCTAAAATACAGATTAAACACCCTTTCAAATTTTGAATGGATATTCAAATATTGACCAAGATATGGATCAACGTTCTACCGAGAACGTTAATCGAAATGTCGACTCCCAAGAAGTTGACATCACTGAAGGTTGCGTCATTTTTTTAAAATTGTAATAGCTGCAAGTTCTTCCGGATTTTATATTCAAAGTTATAGTAAAAACTTTGCCCTTCTATTTTGTTCATTTGTTTATAAGTTTAAATAGGAATGATAATATCTACAGCTACTGATGTATTAATGAAACATACAAAAACACGCTAATCTAATCACATGCTGGTGGGATAACGCTCCTGCAATGTATAAAAATATGATTGTGTATAGTTGTATTTTTAATTTCATTCTATTCCCATTTCGTACAATCATTTTCCTAAGAGCATAAGTTGGCAGTACAAGGCTCAAACTATTCTTATAAAATTTAAGAGTGGCATCGTTATATTATTAACCCTTTGCACTCGAAGTACTTTCAGCTGTTAAAAAAATGGACGCAACCACTAACATTTTGAAAGATTTTTTTACAAACTTACCTTATAAAACCCGTAGATCACTGAATGAAGTGGTAACTAAACATTAAGGTGAAAAAAAATTTCACATTTAGAGTGGTAACTGACATGTCACCTTTCGAGTGCAAAGGATTAAAAAAGTTCCAAATTTTTTTTTATAAGCTTAAAATTTAGTATTAAAAAAGCAAAAACTGTGATTTTATTACTAGATATGTTTATCTGAAAAAATTAAGAGTTGTGGTGGGCGCGAATTAATAAGAATAAATTTTATTTTCTAACTTGCTACCACTTTTGATATTTTTTAAGGTCACAACGAGCCCTACAGGTGTACTACTAACACGTAGTTTAAATGAAGATTCAACTCTAATCTGATATAACAGAATAATATTGATAAATTCATAATATAACTTTGCAATCTTAGTAAACATTTCGAAAGAAGAGTTGAGTGGATGAACCAGGTAAGTGACTTCTTCCGAGTGGCTAAAATCACGGTAAGAAGAAAACAAGTAGTGCCCGAACTATTTTGTTAAAGATTTTGTGTGCTTATAATTCGTTGCTTTATTTTATTTACCACTACTTAATTTAAAATAAAAATTATAAAACAATAAGCGAAACTTACGGAGTTTAGTTATATCAAATTTTCAATGAAATAAAATTCAACTATGTTACCCTATAAGCACACTTTACGAAAATTCCAACTTGCTCAGAGTGGTAGTCTCTTACACGATATTTCTTGAATTAGTAAATTCGTTTTTTAGGTTTTTCATTCTTATAATAATTCAAAGGTTTAAGTGATACACCACTCAAAAAATTAATAAAATTAAATGAAAATATCCAAATTTTCGATGGTAGTTTTCTACCGTTTTTTTTATAAATATTTTGTTGAAAACTGAGAGCAGATTTTATATATTATCTTCCCTGATTAATAAATACCTTTAAAAATGCTACTTACCTTTTTACATAACCGCTATGCACTTTCAATTTCATTCAATAGAAGATGACATCAAGAAGTATGACGAACATATTAAAAATGCCAACAAATATTTGGACTGAATATATTGTAAAGAAGTCAGTAATATACTTGAAGTGGATATTACTGAATATTACATAGTATTAGTAAATGGTTAGAAAGAAATACAATTTTTTATGTGTGTGATTGATGTATGCAGCTTTCCAATGACTTATTGTAAAATTCTGGCGTACTTTTATTGTAGTAGTATATGATTGGATTGATTTTGGTTCGGATAATCAGTGCTCTACTGTATTAGAGAATATATTTTATGTCTTTAGCCATTTGCCGACGTAGTTCTGGCTACATTAAGTCACCAAATGCAGGCGTACCCACGACTACTTTTTTTGCAAAATATTTTATAGATTGGAAGACATTTAAAAATCAAAGTTTTCAGAATTTTTGGTTATTTTGCCAGCATTTTAAAAAAACTCACCACAAAAGAGCCAGACTTGACTTGATATGGTTATTGGTGATGTATCTGCCAGCTTCAGCTGGCACTACATTTTTAAATCTGCAATTTGCCCTAGGGCAACTGGGACTAAATAGCAAAGATATTTGGAAGTAAAAGATATAAAATAGGATAAAATGTATAGAAAACTTAAGTATCAAAGAATGAATATTGAATTAAATTGATTAAATTCAATATTATATATAATTGTTAATTAAAATTAGCTGTTCCTGTAATGGTTAAGAATTGGAAACCAGATATTAAGGTAAATCTGATAGAGTGTAATATCTATTTCTTTCTTTATCTAATTTTTTTTTAAAGTGTCACAATAATATTCTTTTTAACTAGCTATGTTAAGAAGAAAGGAAAAGAATCAATGGTTTATCTTTAAAATCAACATGTTACAAATTTGATCGTTATGTTCGATAATTAAAAGCATTATTTTAGTTTAGCAATAAATGATTACCCACTACACTTTAAAAGCTTTAGGAATTAAAGTGAAGATATTTTAACCAACAATATTGTGAAAATCTTATGTCAAAGACTTAGTCTCATGTAATCTTATAACTTATGATTTAGTTTAATACTTAACTCTTATGCTAAACAGTTATGTCAAGAAAGTTATGACAAAGCTTTTTCTTCGTGATGAAACTGTTTTGTAGTTATTAAATATTTTCTAGAATGGTGTTATCATTTACCTAGAAGAAAATAATGCCCGGAATTATAATTATGATTTTTTAGACAAAATTTTATATTAAAATATCAGGTGGTTAGGAATATGCTCTATTCCTTATAACAAGTTAAGATATTGCTTAACCTCTGTTTGTTTTACTTCCTGTTACTGCACCGTGATCTCTGTATAAATAGGAAACCAGAAATAAAATATTTCAAAACATTATTTTTAATAACAGCGTTGTTTGCACCCTGTAAAAAAAAAGAAAACTGGGATCAAAACCATTTCATTTCTAGATAACTTAAACTTAAGGCTTTATTGCTACAATAATTACCTTTCTCCAGATAATTCTTTTGTGTTTGTTGAAACAAGTATTGGTAGTAAAGGGCATTTAATTCCCTCCGAAAAAAAGGTAGATATGAACTGGATTTACAACCAATTTTTACTATTTTTTCCAGGTTACCAACAACCTTTCAATAAGTTTCTAGTAGCAAATTTATCTAATTTTTGTGTACAATTAATATATGTGCAAGAATACAAAATTTGTAGGCTATTTGTGAAAAATTATTCTAGTGGTAGCTAAGTTTATGGGGTTCATTTTATGATTCTTTGTTTTTTAAATTTAATTAAAAATAATTTCCGAGTCACTACGTTTTTTTATTTTTAGCAAAGAAAAGTACTGATAGATTTTCAATGACCATAAGGGAGTAATTGCCACCACAAGCTACTACTTTGGTTTACAAATGTAACTAAATTATAATTACTATTCATTTTTAATTGATCGGGGGGAAAATTATGCTACTAAATTCTATGTAAACTTGTTGAAACGATTGCATAATTGCCAACAGCTTGGTGAGAGATTTATCTAGAATATTATTTTGATTTCTTGACCTTGTGCACATGAGTGTCAGAGCAGATTATCCGATTAGGTGGTCAAACAAACACGGAACCCCCTAGTGTATTCACTCATTTTTTCGACTTACTAAAGGGATGAAAGACACTCAAGATTGCCGCAGCTGTGGCTCAGCCACTAGGCCTCTAATTGCTACTTCTCTGCCACTTTATTCATTGAGGACTTCTGAGTTTAAAAAAAAATCGTAGTTATAGTAATATTTATAGTTTATGCTAAAATCTTAATTTTAAATCTTAAATTGTTTTACTACCTCGACAAATAATTCAAACCTATGTATATAAGATATATTAATCTGGCTATTGTTCTTATGCATGTTAGTGTAATAGCTTAATTTAGAAAAAAAAATTAATACCATAAATATTAAACTACCACTCTCTAAATCTTTCTTAACAACCGTACGAGTTTGCAGCTGTGCATGAGCTCACAGTGATATCAAATCGCCCAGGACAGCAGATAAGTATTCTCGAGTAGTAGTCTTTTTAATGTATGATGTACGATGTATGATGTAATGTATGATGTATGATGTTTTAATGTATGATGAGCCCTTAAATAATTTTATTTTATAATTCTCTACCTTTTTTTTTAATATTTTGCCGAATCCCAGAGATGCCAACTGCTCCGGACACACCAAAATAATTTAAAAAACGGTAAATAACTATAAAGTAAATTTTGCAAATATTTTGAATAATTTTGCTTGCTTTTTTAAAGGTATAGCATGACTTGAGTGCTGTAAAGTAGTGAATTATATAAACCTGCGAATTATTTAGATATAGTTATGGATAAAAATCTACTAAATTGAATTTATTAAACCAAGAATCACAATTGATGAACTACCACTTTAAAATATATATTTGCTGTCCGGAGCAAGTTGGCATCTCTTCCTGAGCAGTTAGCTCCACTGAATAAGCTTTCCACTGCCTTCTAACCACAGACTCAATGCAAACAGAACTCAAGTTCATGATGAGTGGGATAGGGGCCACTTTGCTGCCTAGATGCCCAGCTAAATAGCACTGCGCGAGCATTTAAGCACTTTGTTAAACGTGGAGGTGGAAGTTTCGAATCCCGTCATAACCCTGGGTGTATTCTTAGTGATGTCCTCTGTATTGTGGTATCTGTCCTTCTATTTGACTTGTGCAGCTCTAGTGCGACGTAAATGAAGTACAACAACAACCTTCTATTTGACAAAGGTTTATAAGCCTTAATTAAGCATACAAGACTGCAAATGTGTGTTGAGCCTTTCAAAATGTTAACAAAATTTACGGTAGATCTACAAATTTTACTTTGAGGTTCTCCACCGTTTTTCAAAATATTTTTTCAAATCCGAAGCAGTTGGCATCTCTGTGCTTATGTATGTTTCTAAATGTATATTTTATTATAATTGTTGTGAACTAAATAGATGTATTAGTAATATAATACCATACATTTAAATAGATGTATTAGTAATGTAATACCTTTAAATTTATTTACTTTAGTATGTCATTCATTTATTCTTAATATTTAAATTGTAAAGAGCAAATAACTATTTATGTTAAAATGCATATAAAATATGCAACGTTGATGCAACGTTAAAAAATTCATTTCGTGTTTTGTATTTATAATTTTTACTCAGAATCTCTTTTTATTTTATTTTTATTTGTTGTTATTTTACATTCTGTTGATGAATATATTGTTGTTTTATCTCTCTTGTTAATTTCTCATCATTTTAAAAAACGAGGCAAAAAAATTGTAGGAAATTAAATTATATTATTATTTCAGTTTTTTGTTCATATTTTTACTTTTGGTGATTCTACATTATGATTCCAGTTTTATTAAGTTGATTATTTTTGCTGCTTTTACAGAAAATAAAATGAAATATTATATTTTATCTTTTGTTCTTATTTGATTTCATTGTTATTGTTGTTTTTTAAATTATTTGTTTGAGCGTAATTTAATTTTATAAATATTGCTTTATTATCCACTTGTATATATTGGAAATAAAATAATTAGATGAAGAATCAAAATCCATTGTTTTGTGACTCACTCTTATTGTTTCATCAATATTATTTGGAAATTATTTCGAAGGAAAGAATGCATCGCAATCAATTGTGCTCAGGTAAAATTTGCTAGTTTTAATTTTGTATCTTTAATGTTTTTGTTATGATTTGAAAGGTTTTAATTGTTTTACAATACATTTTTGTTCGAATTAAAAAGAATTATTTTTGATATATTTTCCGTTACGCTTACTGAAATGAAACATGTACATACTTTAGCTTTAAAAAATTATTTTTTTCCCTTTATTCAGAACCAAGAATGAAAAATCATATTAATTTTGAAGAACGATTTAGTTTCTTCATATTAAACCCGATGAATTAAATATTTAGGCGAAAAAATTTTATTTGTTTATAATTTTACAGAAACACGCCGTTTCTCAAAGGTTTGATTTTCTCCAATTCAAACAAAAAAAATTATATATTTATAATTTTATATCTATTTTTTTACTTTTTATTTTTGATTTTATAAACTTCATTTACAGCATTTTAAATCGTAACTATGTATGCATAATTTAATCTAATATATCAAAACTGATTATCATGTTTTGAAATTAAATATTCGCAAAATTTAATACATTACGCTTACCTAATAACTTATTTCGCTATCACTTTTAATATTATTGGAGTTTGGACTCCTGGATAGGCATGTATGTAGGTTACTGATCTTAAAGCAACCACAACAACTGCTAACCATAATGAATGCTTACAAACAGTAAAAATATCATGATGCAGGCGATAGGGGGTGTTTCGTGGCGAATTCCGCATCCGGCTTGCACCGACAACAGAGATGACGTGAAGAATCCTCAGAGGTATACGGATCACGGGTTAGAGTCCCCTTGCCGTCAGGCTAACCGTGGGAGGTTCTCGTGGTCTTCCTCTCCATGTAACACAAATGCGGGTTAGTTCCCACAAAAAATCATCCACGAAGGCAAATTTATCCCAATACGTTATCCGGGAGTTCCCTTGTCTTCTAGATTGGGTTCAAAATTACAAGGCTACAGAGTTGAACATTAGTAGTCGTTCAAACTTTCGGAGTGCCCCCGGATGCCCCCTTACGGGGGCGGGACGGGCTTAAGCTTGTTATTAGTAGTCGTTCAACGACGGTTATAAAATAAAATATAATCCTCCCAAAAAACCAGCTATAAAGAATTGCGTTTAGTACCTGTTTCTTTCTCTTTTCTGTCTCGCTTACAAGCCTGGTTAGGATAAACTTAAATGAAAAATAATCTGAAGTATTAGTAAGGGTTCTCATCAAATTGGGTCTCATCAAAGGGTTCTCAATCATTAAAATTGCCAAATTCGTAAAAAAATGATATAAATTATATATTTTCGATATATTTATTATTTTTAAACAGCTCTTTCAGTCGTATTATTATTTTTTTTATAATATGTGTATTACACAACCACGTTTAAAATTCTTATTTTAAAAATTATTTATAAACATTTGGCAACTTTTTGTGAAGTATTTTGTCAGAAAATATAAACAAGGTTGACACATTTACAAGGATGACTGAAATAATAAAAAATGGTATAACTCAATTCATCTTTATTTGTTTAACTATTCACTCATAGCTACCACCATAACTTACTTAATAAATTATTTATATTTGAAATATTAACAATTTTTTTTTCATATCATTATTAAAAAACTAAAAATGCAACTCAACAATGAAAGNGATAGAACAATTCAGAGAAAGACATCACAAAGAATACATCCAGGGTTACGGCGGGATTCGAACCCGCTACCTCCACACTTAACAGAGCGTTTGAACCGGCGATACCGCTCGGCCAGGGAGGCCCCAACTTACTTAATAAATTATTTATATTTAAAACAATAACAATATTTTTAATATAATTTGTGACTTCCGTTTCTGCACTTTCGCTCGCCTCTCTACCCTTCTCTCCATCGACATCATTACAGGCGCCCACGGGCATCACCTCAGATGAAGGAGTCAATTGTCCGCTTCGCGGACAGGCACTTTGTTCTCTACTCCAGTTCAAGTTTTTATTTTTAATGTCTTTATTAAAAAACTAAAAATGCAATGCAACAATAAAAGTTGTCAATTGTACTTTTGATAAAATTTTGATATTTATTTAAAGCGACTGTTTATATTTTCAGTCGCTCAACCTACATTTGTATTCCAAACACGTAGATAAACAAACTATAATGTTTTTTTCTGAAATTCGCTATGTTAAATATTTACTTCCTAGTTCTAAAATTATATTACAGAAGATATAAAGTATTTTAAAAGTTTTTAACTCATTCTGTATAATAAATAGTAAACTATCTCTCTCGAGGAAAAAAATATTGAAAAAACTTATCGTAGGCGAAAATACTATTAATCAAAGGATGAACCTTTCGATTAATTGCAACTATCAAGAGAACAGTCTAAACCTTTAGATTCCATCATCAATGAAATTATAAGCGTCAACTGTTCCTGTAATACTAATT